CATTCATTCAGAGCATGACTCTGTTTGACTCTTTGCACTGAAAGCGGTATTGACTGTATGTGAAGATTACTGGTGAAAAACGTCATCCGAACGGACCAATAATCCAAATAGGTAGAAGAATATAAGTGGAAGAGAAATGTGATCCTATTTAATCTGCACCGTGAACAGTTCACGTGTGTGGTCCCGGCTTCTGGTCCCGCTGAAGGACCGCTGTTTCCTTTGGCTCTCAACTCTGTGTTGTGACTATATTACAGCCCCTCCATTTCCACACCCAGCTGCACATGTGTCCCATACTGAACCAGGACGTTTTAGTACATGTACAGGCCCAAACAAGGATGCTGGAGGTAAACTGTAGGTGTGCGCGGCTCTGGGCTTTAATTAGACAGGGAACAACATGGCAAAAATAGAGCTGCTTTAAAAAAAAAAAATAACCGAGTCAGACAGATTCTCATTATTGTTAGTATAGTGGTTAATTAATTACCAAGTAATCCAAAAGTGCATTCATTGTAATAGGTGTTTATGCAATCAACATAGTGTGTTATTTAGGCTTCTTTAATGTGACGCAAGAATTGATTTATTTCCTAAAATATATCAGCTTAATTCCAAACAAAATAGTCTTAATTTGAGGAAATAATACTATTTTATGCCACTCATACCACATTTAATTGTGGCTCAAACAACCACTTTTGAATGTTTGCTATTTATTCTTTTAATCTGACTCATGATGACCAAGAAAATAAATAAAAAATCTTTGGTCTTAATTGATAGAATTAAGTTGATTTAATTCAAGAATGTGACATAATCGTTACCATCTGTTAGCTTGTTAACCAGTAGCATGTTCAGGCATCAACACTGATGATAGAAGCAGCATCCAAGGCTGAGACTCTGCAAGCAACAGGTTTATCCCCCGAACCTCAACAATAACACATTCTCTAAATCAACTTACGAGGCTGAAACTGAAAAAGAAGTTTCCCTTAAAGCTCATTGACATGACCCCATCAAATAAACAAGCACCGGGAGAACGATGGGAAACCTGGAGTCAATTTCACACTGACTCTCCTGAAAACATCCCTTCTTCTGAGGCCAGCACTGACAAACCTGCCTGCGGCTTATCAAATTAAACCTCCATTAGCAACAAAAACACTCTTTTCCAATTACCCATTAGCAGAACAAACATGCCGTCGTATGTTACGCATGTTCTACTGTGAGCCGTGCTCTGCTCACGTCACTTGCTCTCTGGGTCAGGTCTCACACACAAGGCCATTCGTGTGTGCACGCTCGGCTGTCATTGGCCTCAACCTGTGACATCACCTGTCACTCTGCCTGTCCAAAAAAAGAAGAAAATGATGTGGTTTTGGATTACACTCATTATTCCAGTTGGCGCTACAGTCCTGCTACAGTTTACAAACATTGCACAAAGCAAGCGTGGCGCTACAGTCCTGCTACCGTTTTCTCAGTTTACAAACATTGCACAAAGCAAGCTTTTTATTTCCATGTAAAAGAGATGAAGAAACTTCCTATAGTTGCCAATCGTACATTGCACGACTTCAAACAAATCCAAACCCTAACCCTATAGCTGTCCCTTCTCCTTCCTCCCCCTCCAGCTCCATCTCCAGCTCTTCCTCCGCTCTGGAATTCTACTTTCTCCTTTTCCTAATAAATCCGAACGGGGCCTTTTCCTCTTTTACAGGAACAGCGACTCATTAAATGGTTGATTTCAGATGGCAGAGTGTGAATGTTTTGAGTTAAGTTCACTGATCTGTGCGCAGGTCTGAGAGAAACGGACGTCCCCTTCAGCACATGGTCAGTAGATTTACACCTCTGTCATTTTAAAGACACCTCAGAAGCCCAGATGGACCCCGGCCCAGACACACTGGGGTTGTCCTGATTGTCCTTCCCTGCACACGGTCACAGAAATGTTGTGGAAAAGATCCAACTAAGATGAGATATATCTGTTCTCAGCTGTCTGCATCAGTGCATCTACAAGAACTGCAGTGATGCAAACCTGTCAGTCAGTTTACACCCGCTCTACGTCATCGTCCCCGGAGCTTCATCTTTGGCTGCTGCTGCAGAGTTAAACACATTTTTTCATCTCTTCATGTGGGTATTTTATTTTTTTTTATACTCTCTATGATAATTAGGACTGAGGAACTGGAATGAATGCAGCTGCAGTGTTGATAAACCACAGGCTAATTCTGAGCTCATATCAAATAAATGTGAAGCCAACACAGCATGGTGTTTTAGATATGTAACACAGCATGGACAACTCAGGGGAATATGGAGGGGGAAAAAAATCACCGTTCAACATAGTTTGGAAAACTTTGACATATTTGCCCTCCCTTTACCGTATCAGAGCTTGATGTGACATCACTGTATGACATCATTACTAGAGCATGAACCTTTTCCCAAAAAACTTTATGGTCTCTAGGGTTTCTCTCCCTTCACATCGATGAAAAGGCAGGGTGGTTTTAAAAAACTACAGCAATACTTCTCAAATAGTGGGGCGGGCCCCCCTGGGGGGCCGCGGGGAGGTGCCGGGGGGGCACCTCAGCAAATAACATGACCATAAGGTGGTTCAAACCTGGTACTGGCATGATGGAGGTAATAAAGTACACATAATAACCAGATACAGCATTCTACTGTATTTCCAAAAACTAGAGCCAACCTTTTTTAATTATATAATTCATTTTATACTATTGACACATATTATGTCATTATTGTCTTTAATTAAAAAAAATAGAATGGTCAAACCATTCAAATTCTATAATCCATTTAATCACTGCAGGTTATCTGTGGACCAATCAGAAATAATCATAAAAATACACTAATCGTCAAGGGGAGTCAGACTCACATGACGATGGTCTGACTATAACAGAACTTTTTTGTAGTTACACATCTTTAATCAGTTAAGACTGCTCCACCTTCCTGCTGTCCCCTCCTCTCTCTCTCTCTCTCTCTCTGTCTCCCCCTCAGGGCTGGAAGGTCCCTCTCTTCCCACAACTACTCTTAATCGCCCCAGTGACTACTCAGCTGTCAATCACTTCAGAATCAGTCTCATACTTAGTAAAACAAGCCTGTCAGCAAAGACATCTCCTGCGCACACACACGAACATACACATCTACTAAAAAAGCAGGGTTTGTAGCGAGACGGGGGGTGGGGGGGGGTGAGAGGGGGAGAGTGAAGGAGGTTCTGTACGCACCTGCTGAGCCTCACTGGAGGACCGGTGGAGACACAGATATTCCTCCCCCTCCTCCCCTCTCCCCCACAAACACAGACACACTGCAGGGCACTGGTTGTGTAGGTACCACTTTAATTTTCATCCTATTTACTCAGCCTCCAGCCAAGCTGCCCCCGCAGGGTCAGAGCGGAGCTGCCCTCCGACCACGGAAAACCCTGACGCTAAGAATCACATCTCTGAACACACGTGTGGAATCATTTC